TTTTTTTTTTTTTTGCTAGTTTAGTACTCTTAGGAAGATGGCTAATAGGAACATAATCTGCAAATTAGTTGACTCTCCTTTTCTTTCCCTATTTTGTACTTCTGCAGGCTTAGGTGTGCAAGAATCGCCTGGTGTTATTTCATAGGAAATGCATAACAATTCACCACTGAGTTACTGTCCTGTGGTTAAGAGTACACTAAAAAGTGCTTTAAGATTCTAATTTTCATAAGCACCCCTTAGTTTAAAGATTACCTCCTCACTTGGTTTTAATGCATACCTAAACTATGACAATTACCCACATTCTACTCTCGAATATTCTATAGAGGACACCCTGATGGGATTCTTAGTTCACATTTAGGATAAGGAATGGGTCTAACAACACAGCATATGTGAGTCATCTTATCAAGAAATCTTGATCAAGAACTAGAGACCGAATTAAACTACAGGAAAAACAATGAACCAGCAGAACAGGAAAAAGAGAACAGTCCATCTGTTTTGAAATACAGAAAGGCATTCTTCTCAATATTAGTCATTAGAATTTTGTCTTGAGTTTGAAGATGATGAGCAAGTTACAGCTTTAATGAAAAAGCTGTGGATAACACCTGCACCAAAACACTGGGATAAGATTTGATTTTGTCTAAATGCTAACAAGGGTATATAAATCTGACCTTCATGAAATTCAATCACCAATTAGACATAATGCAGCAAAAACAAATCGATTTATGGAAAAGGAAAGGAACAAGGAAAAAGATCTGAAAGAACTTAAGTCAGTACACAAACAAGGCATTCTCAGAGAAGTTACATATCCCCATGAGCTGCAGTCCACTGTGGGTAGGGGGACAGGGAAGGCCTGCAGAGAACGACCTAAATTCCTCCAACTCCAGGTGGAGTGGAACAGCTTTTCTTCTCAAGAGGACCCAGCAAGAACAGCTCTGCCCAGGTCTGCATAATCAGGAGACAGAGCCAGGCAAGGTCAATGGGAAAATATTCAAGAAAAAATTATCTGAAAACCTTTTATTAGTGAAGAATGGTTATAACCTACTTATTTTAACTTCAGACTGGATCTCTGCTAAACATTTTCTAAGTTAAAAGTTTCCACAATCTCCTTTTCCCTAGGTTATAACCAATACCTATAAAACATCAACAGTCTTTGTATAAGTCCTGAGCAGCAAGGGTAGAAAGGAAGGGAAAAGGAAAAACTGAGCACACAGTTCAAAGAAAAGTGATGGTTATCTTTGGCTACCACTGCTGGCTTACTTTACCTTATAAAGAAGGTTTTACAGATGGCAGCCCAAGACACCTCATACAGTGAGTGGCCCTACTGTTTGTGACTCAGCACATTAATCTACTAATAAACTTGTAGATGGCATCTCTAGTTATTAGTTCATTTGTCTTGCTACAATGTCTAAGATTGTTTGTAGGGAGAAGCTTGGATGTGTGTACTCATCTGAAATCACTTCCCAAGCAGCTCATAACTTTTTTTTTTTTTAAAGAGAGAGAGAGGGAGGGAGAGGGAGGGAGGGAGGGAGAGAGAGAGAGAGAATTTTTAATATTTATTTTTTTAGTTATTGGCAGACACAACATCTTTGTTTGTATGTGGTGCTGAGGATCGAACCCAGGCCGCACACATGCCAGGCGAGCGCGCTACCGCTTGAGTCACATCCCCAGCCCCAGCTCATAACTTTTCTGATAACAAGTCACACTGGCCTTTCTGGAAGTCCAGATGTCTGCCTAGCACAGGCCCTCTGGAATTTGTCCCATTGCCTAGAATACTCTCTTTCCACCCCTTTGAGACTTCAGCTCAGGCAGTACTTCTGCAGGGAACTATTACTGCACCTCATGACCACGTCAGGTTATCAACACTGTCCACCTCCCTACACAGCACTCATCACAGCTGTTATACTACTATATGAACGTTTAATGTGCATCGCTTTCCCAACATAGTGTAAAATTTATACGAATCGAGATTCTGGACTTTGTTTCTTTCTGCTCACTCTAGCACATAGCAAAATAATAGGCATATGCCTGATGGATGAACCAATGAAAGACATGATGAAGCAGAGAGGTATTCCCTTAATTAGATATGGTTAATACCATTTATTATAAAAAGACAGATGTCGGCTGGGGTCGTGGCTAAGTGGTAGAGGGCTCGCCTAGCATGTGCAAGGCCCTGGGTTCAATCCTCAGCACCACATAAAAATAAATAAAATAAAGGCATTGTGTCCAACTATAAGTAAAAAATAAATATATAAAAATCTTAAATTTGATATGAACATTTAAAAAATAAAAAAATAAAAAGAAGTGATATAAAATGTTTTTTGAGGGGTACTGAGGATTGAACCCAGAGATTCTTTTTTTTTTTTTTTTTTAAGAGTGAGAGAGGAGAGAGAGAGAATTTTTAATATTTATTTTTTAGTTCTCGGCAGACACAACATCTTTGTTGGTATGTGGTGCTGAGGATCGAACCCGGGTCGCACGCATGNTTTTAATATTTATTTTTTAGTTCTCGGCAGACACAACATCTTTGTTGGTATGTGGTGCTGAGGATCGAACCCGGGTCGCACGCATGCCAGGCGAGCGCGCTACCGCTTGAGCCACATCCCCAGACCGAACCCAGAGATTCTTAACTACTGAGTCACATATGCAGTCCTTTTTATTTCTGATTTTGAGACAGGGTCTCACTAAGTTACTTAGGGCCTTGCTAAACTGCTGAGGCTGACCTCGAACTAGCAATCCTCCTGCCTCAGCCTTCTGAGTTGCTGGGATTATAGGCATTTGCTATTGCACCAGCAAAACAAATTTGTAATATGAATGGAGCTCAGCTAACTCTTTAGACATTCTCTTTTTAAAGAAAAAGAATTAAAGCAGAGAGAGAGAGAGAAGAGGTGCAGTGAACAAAAGAAATTATCTGAATTCCACTGATCTCCAAACCCCTCTCTTTCCCTCTCCTCTTCTCCAAATCCCCAAATCTTTCTGAAACTCAATTAAAAAATTCATTTTAATCTCATGACAGCATAATAAAAATGCCACCTGGACCAAGAAAAAGTGGGATGAGACATTTAGAGTAGTTGGTTCTGCATTTGCTTTGTTGATAGAAAGTCAACTGCTTGATAGCAGCAGAGCTATTGTGTGTGTGCTAGAGAACTGTCAGCTGTGTGCTCAGTAGTGGAGTCAAATTGAAGGAACACCAAATGCTAAACCTCACTTCCAGGTTACTTGAACACATATACTTGTAGTATATCCCACATAATTGGGATAGAGAATGTCATCATTTTGAAACTAACTTGTGCTTAATAATTTAAGTTTTATGCAGTTAAGGATATAGCCTGAAAGGTCCAACACACTCTAATTGAGAATAACATTTTGGTGGCAACCATAGGAATTTAAGACATGCTAATTATTCTAAGCATTCTCACATCCATCTATTCCTATTACTTAGTGGTTCTTGTTCCTCAGATAGTACTCAAGTTTTATTTCTAGCATTAAGTACAACCATTAAAAAATCATTTTCTAAAATGTAGTCAGTCCAATGCAGGGATCACTGGCTCTGATTTAGATACTTGTTGCTGTTCTTTTTTATTGACAGTTTTTAAGTGTTCACTCTGTTCCGGATCTCTGAAGTCTCCCTATTTCTTTAGAGCATTTCATAAATGAAAATGAAAATCTTAACAACCAATCTAATCAGTAGGTAACTATGAAGGGCCAAAATTCTAAGAATTAATGACCAGCATCTAACTAATAGAATCCCATGTCACCTCCTGAGATACAAATACCACAACAGACATAATAAACACCTGATAAAGAAAAAAACAAAGAAAGGCCAAGTCCCACAAAAAGCTCTGCTATCTTACACCAAGAAACTATCCACTTCCTCTCCTCCTTTTCTAAAAACATAGCTACATGTTTATCACTAAGAAAGAATATCAAAAGAGAATAAGCCCAAAATGCTAATTAGGAGAACATTTGGATTTCTTTTGAAAGAACAGAACTGCCAGTTGACAAAGACTATTACTATCTAGCATATACAGAACTGTAATCTCTCTACTAGGTATTACTGCTGAAGTTTAGCTAATGCATCTGTGGAGAAACAGTGTCTCTGCCAAGAGGAAGAAAACCTTGGCATACAGGGCTGCTGCCCCACATGCCAAATGCTGTGTAGAACTACACACTCTGGAGTTATGCAATGGGGTGGCCTCATACACAGGTGTATACAGGCACTGGGAAAATGACCATCATCCCATGTTTCACTCACAGACCTCAAAGTCAAAGACTGTTGCAATTCTGGATTTAAAGATTAGATTAAATGGAAAAATACCTTGGCAATACAAAAATGCTGATATTTATTTTTTTGTTTCTTTCCAAAAGATGAGCAAAACAATGATGTTTTTCTTTGATTTTCTTATACTCAAACGTAACCTCCTCTCAGAGTAGCAACATGAATAGGAAATAGCATAAAAAACTAAGGTAAAGAAAGGAAATAATGCTAGAAAGGTTCTGAAGCAAACATTCATTAATTCAATGACTGAAATACAGTTCTATAAATGAGAAAGATCAGGGAATTGTATCAAAAACCATGCAAAATACACTATGAAGGAAAGTTTAGAGGTTACATGATTTGCTCCAAGCCACAAAGATAGCACAGTTCCTAGATATTAAACTTCTAACCTTGTGATACCCATTCCAACTTAGAAATGATTAGGAAAAGCCTGCTAGATCCACAGGTTTAATGATGATAATAATAATAAATAATAGTATCACAATAATTTTGACTTGTGGCTTAAAATCATACATTAAATTTTATACATTTATAAATAACAACTATAGAGTCCTTTATCAAACTTATCAATGTATAGCTTATATAATAGGAAAATCTGATATCATTATTTCAGCTACTATATTAGTCCTTCAAGAGAATGTTCATCTTGTAAGTCTCAGACAACAATAATCACCAAACATGGAAACCAGAGACCAGCACTTAGAAGCCAAGGTGATGATCCCTCTCTTCTGTCACCATCACTTACCTTGATGGGTACTTCAGTGAGTAAGCAGCAGCCAAGAACCCACCAAGGTTATGTCCAAGCAGAATCATTTTGTCCAATCCTAGGGCACATCTCCATTCTTCAATAGAATCTACAAACTGGTTCTCCACTTCTTCTGCATCACTGTCAAATCTGGGTCTACTACTTCGTCCAAAGCCCAATAGGTCAAAAGCATAGACTGGCCTATCGGTGCAAAGATCACCAAAATTCAGTGCCCAGAGTCCAAGACCTCCACCAAAACCATGGAGGAGAACAAGTGGAGTCTTATTTGAAATACTGTAAGAGAACTTCAGTGTCCATATTCTATTTCCATTAGATATACGAACAGGTTCCTTTTTGTAAGTGCAGGGGACACCTAATGAAAACATAAGAGAAATTTTGTTTAGTTTCATCTCTTTTTAAGAAGGAGATACTCAAAGCATAAAAAAAATTAGTAATCTAGAAACCATGTGGTATCTAATTATATGATTTTAGCCTTTACTGATTTAGCCCTAAAAAATAATAAGATTATTTTATTGAAACAAGTAATTTTAAATGATCAGACAAACCTCAAGCAACCATGGTCAGTCTTTGGCAAATCATATTACCTCTCGACTTAGTATTACATGCAAAGAACTTGATGGTCACTGAGCCCATTATTTTTAGAATGCTTGATTAGCAGACAATAACAAAAGAATTCCACCTTGAATTTGTAGAAGATTTGCAGGAGTAAGCACTGAATGTTGAAGTCAAGTTTGAAGGAATCATGGAAAGATTCATGAATTTAGGCAAGGATGTCAGAAGTCCATATTAGCTGGGAGGGTGGTGCACACCTGTAATCCCAGCTACTCTAAGAGGTTGAGTTTCAAAGTTAGAGGTCAGCCTAGGAAATTTAGTGAGACTCTGTCACAAATAAAAAACCAAAAAGGGTTGGGATGCAGCTCAGTGGTAGAGTACCTCAGGTTCAATACCCAATACTGTTAAAAAAAAAAAAAAAGATATCCATATTAAACACTTAACTGAAATATTAAGTCATCTCAATGCTTAGTAGAAAAAAAGGTAAGAGGGTATGTATGGTAGGAACTCCTTAGCATAAGGCATCAGGCAACATGAGTTCAAGTCTAGCACTGTCCATAAAGTATAAATAATCATGATCTCATAGAACAAAACTCTTACTTTTGTTCAATACCACAAGACTAAAGACTATGAACACCCTTTAAAATGAACTATAGATGAAACTAAATCTGAGATTCATTTACATTAAACTATCAACTGAATAACTGCACTTTATATCCCTTAATTATTTATGCATATTTGTCTGTAGTAGACAAAACAAGGAGAACCAGGAGTTTATGCTCTTTAATCATCAAAGAAATAATTGCAGGTTTTGTATTCACATGGTGGCAAAGAAGAAATCTAGCATTCATTCAGAATATTCCCAGCTACCATGCCCCTAAAGCGGGGGTGGGGGTGGGGGGGGCGGAGGTGTGCCACTAATTTAGAAAAGGAAGTGATCTGGCATTAGTATAGAGCTGAATCACTTCATCATTTTGAACACAGTTGCCTGAGTATTCCCATAGAAATTATCTGTAATGTCTAGTAGAGAGCTTATCTCACTGTATTAGTTGCTTGCTTTCATGTCTGATATTGGAGCAAGGACCAATTCTCATTCCTATTTGCACCCCTAGTACCAGGAATAGGGAATCAATGTTTGTTAAATGAATTATTGAATGTCCAGCACCCTGTTTAATCTCCTTACAACAATTCCTTATTTTTGTAAGCCATAATGACTACTTTCCCAGTTTTGTAGAAAGCAAGATTATCTAAGTATATAAAGTAGAAATTAATTTTTTATGTTAAAAATTCATGTAAGATGGTTTCCTAGGTGACCCGAATTAGGCACTGAATCCCCAAATACACATCAAGAAAATTCATTAATGGTAAACAGGACAAAAAATAGGTGCGAACAAACATCTACACATATGTTCAAAATAATCATGTATATAATTCACACTGCTAATCCATTCTCCTAAATTGTATCACCAGAAAAAAACTGGACAAAAAATACCACTGCTTAAAACTATACCCACCTGGGAATGCCCTAACAGTAGAAGTTTGGACAAAATTTCAGTGCTCATAAGAAACAAACAAATAACCAAAAAAAAAAAAAAAGCTTTCCACACCAGTATAAACATATAACTAAAGCATCCTAGAATTCTAGAGCTGTAAGTACTCTATGGATAATCCTACTATAAGGTAAGAAATAGGAAGATTAGTAAAGTGGCCCAAGATCCTGTAGCCAGTGGTGGCTGATGTGGGCTATGTTATTCTAATCTAGTACTTGTTTTATTATACTATGCTCTGTAATATCTAGAATCTCTTCTTCTTCTTTTTTTTTTTTTTAGTTATACAAGGACACAATATCTTTATTTTGTTTATTTATTTTTATATGGTGTTGAGGATCCATCTCAGGGTCTCACATGAGTGAGGTGAGCACTCTATTGCTGAGCCACAACCCCAGCCTTAGAATCTGTTCTTGAAGTACATACTAGGGAACATCTGAAGGGTCTTTAAGATCCTCTGAGTAAATCAAACTGTTTTTGCAGTAATAGTAAATTTTCATTTGCTGTTTCATTCTCATTTTCTGAGAATATAGTTTTCTAGAGATTTTATAATTGTTACCCAAGAGACTGAATATAGAAGCAGATATAAGAATCCAGATGCCTTATGTTAAGCCAGATAGAAAAGAGACTTGCAAACATATAAATGTTAATTTCTTCATTACATTTTTGTTTGTGGAGAGTAGCTAATTTTTTTGTAACTTATTTTAACTTGCAACAGATGTATTATTATTATTTTCAAATAAATTAATGCATTAACATTTTCAATTATTCAATTTCAATTTCTAGTATGTCAAATATTGGTAACAATAACCTATAAACAAAGCTCCTTGGGGTCCTTACAAACTTAAGGGGGGTGACTCAAAACAGAGTAGGGAGGAAGAGCCTGAGAAGAATAATACCACTAAACAAGGAAGAGAGGTGGGAGGGAATGGGAGGGAGAAGGGGAATTGCATGGAAGATGGAAGGAGACCCTCATTGTTACACAAAATACATATACAATGGTGTGAGGGGGAAGGGAAAAAAGAGAGAGAGAAGTGTCACAGTAGAATGGGTAGAGAGAGGGGAGGGGAGGGGAGGGGGAGATAGGGAGGGCAGCAGAATACAACTGACACTGGGATTGCTGTATGTATACACATGGATGTATAACCAATGTGATCCTGCAATCTGTACTTGTGGAAAAATGAGAATTCATACCCTATTTGAATACAATGATATGTCAAGATCATTGTATTGTCTTGAGCAACAAATAAAAGAAAATAAAAATAAAATAAAAAGCGTTGAGAATCACTGGCCCACCACATTTTGGCACTTGCTGATGACATAGAAGAGGGAAAAAGTTTTTTTATTAATAGCTGACACACCATAGAATCTTATCTCCAGTTTTAGGCAATACAATATATTGGATCAATTTTAGTAAATAGTTCTAAACTTTCAAGAAGAAAACCTTACATTTTAACATTTTCTCTTCAGCTTCTTTAAGGTGTGATGTAGATGTAGGGCACCAGGTAGGGAGCCAACCCGTTAGCCATCCTGACCTAGAGTACCAAAAACAAAATGCAAGTAGGTGAGTTTATGGTCTTCTCAACTCTCAATTATTACACATCCAGAAGAAAAGCAGCAGTGGAATCCTATATCTCTGTGATAGTGAGCTACAAGTGACACAAGTCATCTAATAGGTATAAAGCATTGTAGAAAATATTGGGAAGCAGATATGCAACTTCAGCCTGTGTGTATACCTACGAGTAGATATCAAAGTCTATCTTCAAGGACAGATTCCAAATAATACAGTCGAGGCTAAATGGGGCAGAACAAGAAAAAACAAAAAAGCATTCCCTCTAATCCAAGACAGCCTCTTGATAAAACATTTAAAGACTAAGTAAGTTTCTTGAATGGCAGGTTCACAGCAAATGCAAAAGGTAATTGCCATTGGGGTTCAGAGAAGAGAACCCTTATTAAAAATCAAAGTTAAAAAGAAAGAGATTCAAATCTCATGAGAAAGAATAGTAACATACCCTCAATACAAATGCAAAGAGCTGCCCGTGTACAATCTGCCTAGGGTAAACTAGATAACTATTAACAGAAAAACAAAAGAGCTTTGGGTTTCAGTAAATAGTAGTTGAAAAAACAACCCAGGCATCTTTCAGAACACAGCCAAAGAAAGAAAACAAAGAAGCAGATCTGAGGCAACAGGTAAAGAAAGATGTAGAACTTACACACTTTGCCAGGATAGAGTGAGCCTTCAACTCCTGGCCTGGCAGCAGCAGACCAAAAGCTTACTGGAATAATCTGAGACAAGGTAGAGCTTCAGTAGTCATCTATCTGACTGTTGACAAGGGCTGGGTATGTGGTGGCAAAATAAGAACTTTCTGGTGAAAGAAATGTTAAATAGAAGAGGAAAAGTGATCAACAACTAGAGAGAGATGAGAGATTAAGATCCTGAACCCCTTCTTGGCAACAGTGTTAGAGACAAGAACACTTGGCCAAAGAATGTTTAAAAGCAAAACACAATGGATTTGGTGATTAGCTGGATATAAAGGTGTAATAAGGATCCCCAGTCTTCTCAGGGTGCCACTATAATGATAGAGAACAACATGAATAAGAATAGGTGTGAGAAATGTGCTAAATTTTGGAAAGGTTGATCTAGCACCCAGCTTTTTCTAAGCTTTGTAGGTTCATCCTACATCGCTTCCTTTCTCTGTAGTCATTCTCTAGATATTATATATAATAGGTACTCAATAAGTAATGCTTGTTGAATGATTAAGTCACTTACAATCCAGGGTATTCCCAGTGTGAATTCTCCCCCTCACAGATGTGAGAACACTTGGTCCAAAGGTATACAGCTAGTAAATGACACAAATAGAGACTTCTAGGTCAATTCTAGGTTCATTTCTACAGGCAGTGAGTACTTGAAGTACCACAGGTTCTTTAACATGAATAGCATATGGACAGGGCATTTATGTTAAAGAAAATAGAATAAACAAAAAAGTGCAGATATTAGGTTCTGATCACCTTACTTTACGTAACACACACACACACACACACACACACACACACTGGATCAAAGGACAACACTATAAGTAGATGTACTTATTCAGGCTTTCATAGCCAAGCAGTTGTATTATGGCAATAGTATGTACAGAAAAGGTCTGAAGAAACATAACAGCCTGTATTATAATAAGGCTCTATTCTAATGTTCTCTGCTGTCAGTTTCAATCCTTGTGGAATAAAATAAAAAGATGCTAAGACTTCTAAGTATCCCTTGCAAATGTTACCTACAATTTATCCTCAATGTATAAACACAATAAAAAACATTAATATTAGTCTATTTATAAACCTACTTACAAATTATCTAGGAAAAAGATTCAAGGCTTCAGCAATTAATTTTTCAATTCATTCAACAATTTTTTAGTTATTGAAAAAACTGTTTAATAAACAATTAAAATTTTAAAGATCATGACCTTTAGTGGTTTTTTGTTGTTGTTGTTGTTTTTAGTAAACTATCACAGAGCTGAAGCTCCTTTTTCTTTGACCAGTCATTAGGTCTCTGACTGTAATAATATGATCTAGCACCAAAAGGAAATTACTTAAAACTCAATCTCATCAACTTTCTTAAGCAAATATCTCTCAAAATCATCGCTTTGCCAGAGAGAATCAGAGGTCAGTTAAAAAAAAAAAAAAAGTGAAATGAACTGTAATCAACTATTGCTCCAATTGACATCATAAAGTTGGAGCAAAGAAAACACAACTGCAATCTCTGTTTCAGTCTTTAAACAAAATTACATTCAAAAAATAATTCAGACTCCGAATACCTCTGGTGTACAAGGTACTTGAATTTAAAAAGTTATATACCAGTCTATAATATGGGAATTAGGGCTACCTCCACCAACTTACTACTTATCACAAAATGGACTTCCAAAGGATGGAACTGTCTGCCCATGATAATAACCAGCTCAACTCAGAGTCTGTAAATCAACTCAAGAGTTTGTAAATGTAATTCATTAATTTAAAATTAGGGCTCTTTAACCACAAGAAGAGGGGCCATCTCTCTTCATGTGCACAGCAGCCTTTTCATCAAAGCATTTTTTAAATGTTTTTTCTCAAGTATATTTAAACTGAAAAATCTATTCTTAATATAATAAAACATTTTGTTTTCATTTGTAATAGAACACTTTTCCCCTAAGCCCTGACAATGTTTCTGTCCAGGTTTACTTTAACCAGATGATAAATGTTTTATAGAAACTGTCCTCTACCTCTGTCTTAGAGATAGACTGCAGGATTGAGTATTATATATGCCTAATAGGTTCAAAGGAACACTTCTAAAGAGTGAAAAACAAAGATCTCTCTTATCCACCCTTTAGCTCTTGCCCTTTGTTTAAGGCTTCCCACACCTTATCTTCCTACATCTGTTGCTTCAACCATCTAAACTAACCCATCCAACCCTACCTCCTATCTTTGGTTAAGTTAACCTCACTTTCAAAGACCTCTGTTGCTTCCCACTGAATCTTCTTTGCCGTTCAGTGTTGTTCAGCATTCCCTAGACTGAGCATGTGGAATACTGGAACCAAGGACATGAGACTGGAACTAAGGACATAGCCTATCATATTTCTAGCCATTCTTCTGAGGTCACAAACCTTAAAGTAAAAATTCATATGGTCCATCCATAAAACAGTGAAACAGATACAGGACTACCTCCTCATAGCTTTGGGGGGTGGGAACTGAAAGACAAAACCTAACTCCTCTATTTTATTTAAGCAGATAATGAGTAAGCACTATCATCTACTGCAGAGACCCAGATTTCAGGAGATCGAAGTATCCATTGTAATATGAAAAAAGCCAATCACCACAGAGACTAACTTTCCAAAAGTAAACATCTGTAATACCAAGGAGGCTTAGGAATGTGTCCCAAAAGGATTCCTACACAGCCCATCAGCTGGCCCCTGACAAGTATTACTAGCAAGGCAAAAGACCCAAGCCCTAAAGCATTCAATCAAAAACCAAATAAAAATATTCTTGCTCTGTAACCACTGTAGCTGGAAACAGAGAAAAAAAATAATAAGCAGACTTCTGAGTTAAAGAAAACTTTAAAAGACCACATTAGAAATGATCATTAAGGAAAGTCAAATGAAATGTGCTGAACATATTAGAGTATATTTATTTGAGAATCTGATTTTAAGTATCCTGAGTTTGAGAGATGAACTCCAGTTTTTTTCCCCCCGTAACCTTCTACCTAATCTTTTTTTGTTTTCCAATATTATTAACATTGTACTTGTACCCCATGCCATGAACATTTAAGTTTCCTGGTAATCCTGTTTTGTTCTCCAAGACATTTGACTAGATATCTATAGTTATTACTAAACCTGAATTGCACAATCTATAAATATTATGAAATAGTGAAAGAGGTTTCAAAGTATTCTGAAGAAAATATACAGAAGTCTGGCCAATTTCCACACACTCTTGGCCACTTAAAATAACATCTCTAATCAGGTTATAAGTAAAAAGGATTTCATTAGATTATAGTTTTGTTTAAAATAGCCTCCAACACTATACTGGTACAGTCAAGAAAAAAAATCATGTAAGTTTATTATTGTTCTCTACAAACTAAACTAAGCACACTAATCCATCTCATTTAAAGAAATCATGAGGTTTTGATTTTTATTATTAATATATGGATTAATTTGAAGTATAAATATATGTGTTCTGAAATAATCCCTCAACCAATAAATAATTGAAAACTTTCAAACTATAAACTGTAATACAACTGAAAGGTCTTCTTTCCTGGGAACTGACTTCTTAAATTCTATTCTTAGGAAAGAGAAAAAGACTGTCTCATACAACTACAACTTAAGTGACTAACACACCATTTTATTTTAGATAAATGATACTTAAATGATTCAAATTATCACTGGCCATCAAATCAATGTCAACACAGACCTCTAATTTTAACACATTACTTAAGAGTTTTCTAACTCCACCCATCCACCACCACTTCTAGTTTATTATTTTAAAAGACCTGTTGCTGGTCAACCAGTGTTTTAGACAAGCCATGTGCTGGTAAAATCCCTCCCTCTTCCAGCCAACTGTTTCCTACCTTCCCTCACACAGCAAAACAGACCATTCAAAAAGTCAGACCTTTTCATGACTTCACCTTCAAACAAACCTGAAGAAGCTACCTGTGTACATTTACATAGCTTAACAAGTTAGAGTAACATTTCTTTGTTAGTTCTAAAATAAACTTATAGATTAGATAAAAAATAACAGTGTAAAATCCTGGGTCTCAAACAGAATAGTTATTTTTAATAAAATCATGTCTCCATGCATTTATTTTGATAACTCACAATCAGGAGTGAGGAATTACAGAACCATGCTTTGATTAGACTGAAAGAGTTTTAGTCTAACTAAATTTTTAGTCTATCAGTTAGTGAAGGTTATTTTTAAGCCAATATAATGTTTCAGAATAGCTATTATAAATACTACAGTTCAAGCCTTTAAAGACTCCTTCAAAGACACTTGTAATTCTGAAATATTTATCCTGTGTTGCCTTTTATTAAGTGGATCACTCCTGGAACTTTACAATCTTTTGTTTAAAGGACTTTTGTCACAGGACTAAAATCTGCATTTGCTGGCTTGTGATTGGCATTTTGGAGAGCAGGCACAGCAGTGAGGCATGGGTTGGTTCAACTAAGGTCAAGAAATAGAATCCTATTCCCATTCACCCCAGTACAATTTAATTTCATGATCCTAAGTGTTGTCCTATTCAAATTCAAACTTTTCTGTATATCTTATGATGAAAAAACATAATTCACACAGCTGCAAAATGTATAGGAAACTCCTAAGTTTTTTATCTTAATGTTTGTATCAGCATAAATTTACAATAGTTGAAGGCTTAATTAAACAAAAATGTATTGAAGCTTAAAGCCAATTTAAGGTCTACCAGACATATATGTAAGACAAAAGCCTTGTTCTCACTGAGCTGACAAAACAAATATATAATAAAAAACATATCAATGTTTCCTAGTATAAAGTGTCATAAATAAAGTTTAAAGAAATACTATGAACCTTTAGAGAAGGGAGATCACAATTGTTTGAGGTTAGAGAAAACAATGTTAATCAAACCATAGTAAAATGAGAGGGGAGCAAGGGCCATTTTCAGGACTCAGAAACCTAAAGCTTAGCTAAAGTACAGTGCTCAGGGAAAAAGACTCAAAAACCAGGTGGTAGGGCTGGTATTGTGGCTCAGTGGTAGAGCACTTGCCTAGCATGTGTGAGATACTGGGTTTGATTCTCAGCATCACATATAAATAAAGTAAAGTCCATTAACAACTAAAAAAATTTTAAAAAGCCAGGTGGGAGCTGCATTGCCTACAAAGAGCTTTAAAGTCAGGTTAAAGATATATATAATAAAGCCACTGTGGGGGGGGGGACATATAATAAAGCCACACTGTATGTTACTGTGCTGCAAACAGGACTGGTCCTTTTGGAAACATAAAAGTATCTAATGAAATGAGCTATGCTAAAAGCCATGTTATTGAGTTTATAATAATCCAGAGGAGGAAATAAAGAGGGTCTAAACCAGGTGGCTCCCAGGTAACAGTGTGACTAGAAAGGAGAGATACATTTAGAATCCAGTGGACTTGGTAAGAGATTTGGTATTCAGGGGCAAGGGAGGGAGCGAAGGAGAATCAACAGTAATGTCACAGTTGTGATTCTGGATGATCAGAAGAATGTATCTACCCTAAATACATAAACTAAAGAAAACAATAAACAAAAGAATGCAATTTTCCTAATAAAAATAGGGAAGTCAAGAAGAACTGCTGATTTTATATTATCTAGTTTAAGAGTAAGTACAGTACAAGTAAGGTCCAGGTCTGAATATGTTAAGTTTAACAAATCAGATGTAAACATCCAACAATTAGAAATGGCACTAGAATATAAAGAGAGATGTGTCTTCTCCACAGATGAGACAGTTCATAAAATGAGTAAACAAAGTAAAAACAAAGATGAAGATAGACTCTTGGAGAATAAATATAGTTAAGAGAACCTAATAAAAAAAGTTTAATGTTCCCATCAGGTAAGACAATAAGCAAAATGTCATAAGAGGTAGAATGTCTAAATCAGAGTTTCAAAAAGAAGTAGCTATCATGGTATCAAACACTGAAAAGGATCCAAGAAGAAAAGCTGAGAAAAATAAAATGCCAATGGGATGTGGCACTGAGGAGTTTCTTCATTTTTAAAAAGTCAGGTGGCAAAGGTTACAAAAGGGGAGATGGCAGCAGGTGGAAGGAATAGATTGTAATAGTTTTGTTTTGTTTAAGATAAGAGAGAAATCCACTCTTCTAGCTCCAACACAAAGAACTACATTCAAATTCTGAAACTTGTGTGATGCTTGCAAACCAACTGAGGCATGGAGTAGACAGAAAAATCCTTTATTTATATTTTATTTATAGCATTTAATGATTTTCACACTGTAAATACTCCCACCACAGTCCATTTCAAGCTGCTGATGGTTGGTCAAATTCTCGAGAATTTAGCAATGGCTTGTGCTGCAAAATTCTTAAAAATTTAACAATGGCTTGCTGGCATAAATCAACTTTAGTATATCACTGCAAACAAACCATTTTATGGTCTATCCTGTAAATGAGCTATTCTGTGACAACTTTCCTCTAAACTTCATTGATATTTATTAATTCTCTGGGACAACCTTACAGCCATTCACAGAAGTCTATCCTGCTCCTGTTACATATCACTTTCTCAACTGTATTGCAATTAAAAAGGTTGGATATTGAAAGCAAAAATGGCTCCCCAGCAGGCCCATCTTCTCTTAGAGCCACAAAGGAAAAGACAAAAATTATACACTTCAAAAAACTGTCAGATGACTGTTTTATAATTGCTTCATTTGTTAATGTCATCTCCCCATCTGTATTGGTCAGTTTTCCATTGTCAATAAGATAATATCACAGACAAAGTTATAAGAAAAGAAATATTTTGGTTCACAATTCAGGAGACACAAGGTTAAGGGGCCTCATCTGGTGGTGACCTTCTTTCTGGAAAAGTCTGGAGTGGCACTGAGAATCACATGCCAAGAGTCAGGGAGTACAAGAGTATACAGTATGTATATGTGTCTGATTTCTCTCTCTCATTCTTCCTATAAAACTACAAGGATACACATCGGGGCTCTACCCTAAAGACTTTTTCTGAACCTAATCAGTTCCCAAAGGCCCTACTTTTAAAAATCATACACTGATTAAGTTTCTACCCTCTTAATATCTCATGATGCAGATTAATTTCAACATGTGAAGCCTTGTAGGACATTCAAACCAATACACCACCTAAACCCTAAACATCTTAAGTGTAGGATACTTGACTCAAAACAAGAGCCAAACATCCCATCAGTCCCAATCCAAGTGAGAAGCAGCACAAATATGGGGGAAATGCCTTAAACTAAATCCAGACAGCTAGAGGAAAGAGGTTCCAACTTAGCCCTATTACTCATGGGTGGCAATTTCAACTGCAAAATAGGAACAGGAATACCTAGGATTTTAGGTTTAATATGACCAGTAGGAAAAGGAACATAGCATTCTCTCCCTCTTGGTAAAGAGTGGACACCGGACATTGCTCAAGTGTACTGCCAAGAATACCAGGGAGGCCCACCTCTATTCAGGGACTATAGTTCATCAGCTGCTAATAATTTTTAATGGTGTGCCCTCAATGACCTCCAGCCATCACCAAAGCCATATATCTTTTTTTTTTTTTTTTTTTTTAACAGCTGTGTTCTGGACTCTCAAACCCTACAACATCAAGACTACAAAGTCCACCTGTAAGAAATCTCCAAAAGAGGCAAAAATGTTCAGACAAACCTGATAGGAATACAAGATACCAGCTGGATTCCTACTTGCCATCACATGACATTCATCAACTCATCTCTGTATAACAAGGAAGTTCATTAATAAAGCAAAACAGTGGATCCTTTCATTATATAAACAAAACTCAGAGAAGAACCTAGTTTCTAATATTTCACAATTTCCCCCTACTGCAATCTTTCCAAATACCCCTGTCTTCATGATACTCCATAATCTATCAGTTAGATTAGGTTTCTTATAAAAATTCCTCCACACATCTAAAGTAGAACTATTGTCAAAATATTTAATTTATAAGGGAAAAGTATACAACTTTACTCTCCAACATAAAGTACCAGTCTGGAGAAGCAATAATCTTTATGGTAATTAAACTTTTCCAACAACCAACTACTCCTCTTCTACACACAACTGCATGAAATTAGTTGTGGATATAAAAAAAAAAATACTTAGTCTACCTCTATCAAAACACCTTCACATCAGATATGCCCTTCACCTTCTACTTTCCTACACGTGAGAGTCTTTTTTGGAGTTAAGCGCGCGCGCGCGCGCACACACACGCACACACACACACACACACACACACACACAAACACACTTTTCCAGTAAGGAGAGCGGGGCTTGGAAGTAAAGGATCTACATTTGAAAGATGAATTTTCACTGCTGAACTTATGGAAAGAAGGGGTTAACCTTCTTTCCATAAAGTCTGAAGTCAGAACTCAAAGCCACACGCCCACTTCCCAGACCCCTTTCCCTGGACACCCCAATTCCCCGCTTCTCAGGGGCTGTTTCTCCAGGACTGCGGAGGAGGCACCGCCCCCTTTTCCCCGGTTTTAGGGATGATCCGCCCGCGGCACTTTCCGTCTTGCCTAGCTGGACCGAGCACAGCGTGAACTTCAACACCCAGAGGCGCTAGGAGGCGGACAGTGACTCGGGGACAGTTGCGGGGACGGCCGATCACAGCTGTCCATGCCGGGCAGGGCCAGGTCCCATAGCGGGTCTAGAAACGCAGCCACCCAACCGCCTCGCTGAGCTATTTACACAACAGCCGGCGGCCCCAGGCGCAGCGGGTCACCTCGGACGCCCCGGGGGCTGGTGCTGACCGCGCCCGCCGGGCAGAGCCGCGCGGGGTTTCACGTCAGGGTGCCGCGCGGACGCGCATCGGACCGGACGAGGCCGCTGCCCGGCGTTGCCAAGCTGGGGACAAGTCCTGGGCGCTGCCCGAGAATCACGCACCCTTCTGCCGGCCGTACTTACTTACCCCTGGCTGCTTTCTGCAGAGTCCACCTCCTCCTCCTCCGCCGCCATCGCCGCAGCGCAAGAAGCTGGACAAGCTTGGAAGCCGGCAGACGGGCCGACTGCGCCGCCCCGGCCGCAGCCGCTCTTAAGGCCGCTCCGCTCGCGCATGCGCCGCACATCCGCCGGGAAGCCCGCGCTTGCGCGTGCCCAGCCGCTTCGTCCTCCCCCCCCACCACCCCTTGTCTGACTATCTGCGCATGCGTTGTCCCACCCGACCCGCTGCTGCAGAGTCAACCTGGAAGAACTGGTGAGACTCACCTGACAGAGTTAGGTAGAAACTCATTCGATAATGAATTTGTAAGTAGGTCACCCGGGTAATACTGACTATTAAGAGCTGCATACCGTTCGAGCACTTGGTAGTCTGGGACTAAGGTGCATCCCTTCCCTGTTGATGGGTTTGGCCTTCACCAGCTGGTCCCTGCAAGTGGGTGGACAGCAGGAAAGGATGACTCACAGCACCCTTCAGCTGTGGCTCTAGGTTCTGGAGTTACAGTAGTGACCCAAACCAGCAACCCCCACCCGCGGGCTTTAAATACATGGGATGGGTGAATGGGTGAAAAGAACTTAGGTGTTGAGGAACTTAGGGTTCCTGAGGGAGAAAATCACTAATGTAAATGTCAACATTTTTTTGACCTATTTTCAAGCCAAAATAGCCATCAGATACAAACTGCTTTTTAAATTATACCGTTCCCTACCATTTATCCATTTGTGTTTCGTGTGGGCCTACTATGTGCCCAACCCTTTCTAGGTGCTGGGAAAGGATGGATTGAAATAGGACTCCTGCCTTTACAGAGCCTAGGTTAATATCCTGCCATTTATTTGAAACTCAGTTCATTATTCTCCATCTTAATCCATTGTGTGCTGATATAAAAGAATACCTGAGGTTGGGTCATTTATAATAAACCTCACAATTCTGAAAGTTGTGGCATATGATAAGGACTCTGCTTTTTCTCTTTTCTGATCCCCCTTGTAAGCTTGATGTGTTTCTGTAGCCCATCAGGCACTCATATTCTCAGCCTTGTATAATTGTTACAACTTTTTAGTGGGCAGTATTGAATATCCTTCCAACCATACTGCAAGTCCCTCACAGTTCATGTTGTGTGATGTAAAGGGAGGAAAGCCACTCATAACCTCTTGAGCACGGTACTAGTACATATTTCTTATTGCATTTGATCCAATTTATAAAATACCTTAGGGAAGATCAGAACATATAAAAAACACTTTTATAGGAATTCATAGTATTGCCTGAGACTTGTAATAGCAGAAGGGCAAAGAGAGTGCAAAAAAGACTCCAAGGGGGCTGAACTCTTTTTTATAACAAACTCACTCCTGAGATAACAGCATTAATGCATGTGTGAGGGCAATGCTTCTGTAAACCAAACACTTCCTATTAGGCCCCACCTTCCAAAACCACTGCATTGGGATCAAGTTTCTAGTACATGAACTTTGGGAGACACATTGAAACCATATCACTCTCCTCTGTCACTCCAGCCTCACAGCAGCCTCTTTTTTTTTTCTCTTCTGATCCCCCCTATAAACCAGATGTGTCTATAGCCCATCAGACACTCATATTCTCAGCCTTGTTTAATTGTTACAGCTTTTTAATGGCCATGATTGAATATCCTTCCAACTACACTGGAAGTTCCTCAAAGATAGTGGTGTGTTCTGTGATTTCAAGGAATGGGTGGAGTCACTTGTAACCTGTTGAGCATATAATAATTAATAAATATTTCTTACTGTATTGGATCCAGTTCACAAAATATTTTAGGGAAGATCAGAACATATAAAAGTACTTTTATAGGAATTAATGGCATTGTTAGACTTGTAATGTGTCTGCAGAAACCAACCTTCTACAATCTCTACCTCTCAGAGCACTTCTAGATAGGGAGATTCTAGCCTAGTTGGGGATTCTACTATCTGGAACACAGTCCCAGCCCAGTGGTACTGTGTCTAGCAACAAAACCCTAGGTTGTGGCATATCCAACTTTCAGAAAGTTGGGCTAGCTAGTAGCATGCACCCTCAGAAGTCTTTGTGTACCTGAAGCTCACTTTCATAGATGTATGTGGCTACTGCACAATTTTTTTAAAAAAAAATAGGAGATTATTGATCAAATACTGGAGTTTATCCATAAACTGACAGAGCTTTGCATAGGGTTATAGGCCTTGATGATCTTCCCCAACTCTGGACACAGTTCTGGCTTAGGCTTCACTTTGATGCTGATAAAGGAACTTTCTTTGACTATGGCAAGAATACCAAACTGGGGGGGCTGGGGTTATGGCTCAGCGATAGAGTGCTCGTCTCGCATGTGCAAGGGCCTGGGTTCGATCCTCAGCACCATATATAAATAAACAAAATAAAGCTATTAAAAAAACAAACTTATCTTTAAAAAAAAAGAATACCAAGCTGGAATTAGCCATCTACCTAGTCCCTGGGTGTAGGCAGCAGCATTTAAACCTGAGCCCCATCCTAACTACTATGCTCTGTCTTTGAAGACAAGGAATATAACAGCTGTCACTAACCTGTAGCTTGAGGGCACCACCAACACCAATATCAACCACTGCCTAGGCCACATCTCCTTCATCAATACTTCCCTGCACTTTGGTGGTGCCCTGAAAGCAGATCTCCCAGAGTTTAAGGCCAACCTGGTCCCTACTTCCAAATCACTTCCTTTAGGTGACCTGCTAGCCAGTTAGCAGTGCTTATGTTAGGAGATCACCAACAGCTACTTTGCGTTCTCTAATCAGATGGTCAGGATACTAACCAAGGAAAGTATGTAACCTGCTTTGCATGTTCTACCCTAGGTTTGTGACTGAAAGTACTGAATGCTGCCGTGTATCACCAAGGGCAAGTATATTATACAGTTTGATGACTCATGCCCCACTGGTTTCGAGGTTTATTTTAATTTGTAGCCTTTCACCAGTGGTTCCCTTGAGGAAAATACTGAGCAACATCACAGGGGCTTGGGATCTTTACCACAAGTCTACCAAGCAAGCACTTGCAAACCAGAAAGAGGGTGAAGGCGTGGAAAAGGGGAAATTTTCTGAGGCCCCCAATGGCCTAGTTGCTCTATAAAAATTTATTTAAAAGTTGTGTAATTAAACATGTGGAGAAATCAAGTGTGGCAGGGAGATAGTAGGAAGGAGACAGAAGGTAATGTCAAGTGGTAGCTTGATTAGGGAAAGGGCCTACACTGGTCACCTGTATGATCTTGAGATGCAATCATAGAATTTCTCAGTCTCTAATCACCATTGAAACTTATATGGATCTTGTTTAATTGCAGATTCTGACTGTAAATCTGGAGTGGAACCTGGGATTCTCTGTTTCTAACCAGCTCTCAGTAATGCCTGTGTTCCTGCTGCCACTCCACAGAATGTATTTAAACTCTAGAGCAACTCTGTCCACTAGAACATTCTGCAGAAATGGAAATGTTCTAGACCCACACCATCCAGTGTAATTGCCTTTAGTCACATGTGGCTATGGAACATTGGAAATTTGACTAGTAAGAGTGATTTTTTTTTCATTGTCATTTTAATTAAAATTTAAAAGCTACTTGTGGCTTATGGCTATCGTGTCTGACAGCAAGTAAAGATCCCACAGTCCTCATCTATAAAAATGAGTTTGAGACTAGACAATTCCCAGATTCCCTTATATCATTATGTTGTTTCAAGTTGTTGTTTTCAAAGATGTGTGTGTGATGAGGATTGAAAGATTTCCCCATAATTAGTGGAGGAAGAAGAAAGGGGACTATGATTCCCTAGGAGTTGGATTTTAGTGGTAGAGCTAACCCCCAAAGACAAGAAACTGATTAACCAATGAGTATTAATTGAACTCTCAGAACCATTTGGAAGGCCTTCTTCAGCCACTCATAACCCCCAAGCTGTAAAGGAAAACAGTGATTAATTTAGCACATTCAGATTTGAAGCAGCTGTGTGAAAAAGGCACAATAAAACACAGTGAAAGATATGAGACAGACTGGGAAACAACTATTTTGGACATGGTAATAAACCCAGGTTTCATATCTTAAACACATATAGAAAAAAATGAATAAGAACAAAATAGAAAATAGATTTTTTTAAAAGACATCTCAGAAGAAAAAGGCCTCAAGTCATAAGTAGCCACAAGATGTTGGGATTCATTGATGATTGGGGAAGTGCAGATTCAAACCATGATCACATTCGTGAGAAATAAAAAATAAATAGCTAAATATTGGGAAGGACCTGGATCAGGGGGGAATGTTTCTATCTAGTTGGTGAGAGTGCAAATTGGTACAGCCATTGGAAAGTGGTTTGGGAGTTATCTGCTTAAAAATGTAAAATTAAGGTATCCTCTGTCTCCAAAATTTAACTTCGGGGGTTCTAGTCTTTCTTGTGCCCACATAAAGACATACCATGATATTTGCTTCAGTATTCAAAAAGAGAAATGAAATTAGTTAAGAATGCCTGAGATTATGCCCATGGTTAAATAAATCCTCATTTCTCCATTACATAAAATACTATGGCAGCAATTAAGAAAAATGTACTAAATAATATCCAAAGCATATTATTATGTAGAAAAAGAAGAATCCATGAAATATGATCCAAAACTTGTTTCTTCAAGTTTTAACAGAATCAGTAGAGTCCTAGATAACTGATCATGTTGGGGGAAAAGAGAAAGCATAAGCTAACAATATCAGGAATGGAAAATAGATCGCTACAGATTTTACCCACATTAAAAATAAAGTTAGGGAGCTGGGGATGTGGCTCAAGAGGTAGCGCGCTCGCCTGGCATGCATGCGGCCCGGGTTCGATCCTCAGCACCACATACAAAGATGTTGTGTCTGCCGAGAACTAAAAAATAAATATTAAAAAATTCTCTCTCTCTCTCTCTCTCTCTCTCTCTCTCTCTCTCTCTCTCTCTCTCTCTCTCTCTCTCTCTCCCTCTCCCCACCCTCTCTTAAAAAAAAAATAAAGTTAGGCAAAGTCAGGCACAGTGGTGCACATCATAATCCCAGTGACTGAAGCTGAGGCAGAAGGATTGCAAGTTCAAGGTCAACCTTGGTGATTTAGCAAG